GATGTAAATGGTATAAGCAAACTAGATGGTGACATTATGAACTTGCTTACAAAACACTGATGTGGTTTAGAATTTTTGCACCATTTTTATTTTCCCAAGGCAGTAGCTCGTGCACATAATGTGGAATTGTGTTCATTTAATCCACTGGGTAACATTACTTGACCTCAATCTTTGTCGTAAGTGGGTTGGAAATAGTCAATAAGCAGGCATCCCCATACCAATGAAACACTTAAACTCATCCACATGGGACCTTCATAAAATTCAAAGAGGACATGTACATCTGTGACGTCTCCACAGAATAGGTCTAATAAGGGGTCTCTTGCTCTCTGTGTACAGCTCACTCAAAACCAGTAAACCTGCATTCTCACTGCATGCAAACACTACTTGATGAATGCCTCCACCACGAGGTTGTTTCCCACTCTGGAGCGTTCAGATTTTGCATTTTATCTGACATTCTTGATGTGCTTTATGAAGCTGAGATGTCCTTTGTTATTCCACTATGTCTCCTATCTTCATTTTTTTCTTTGTTTGTATATAAAACATGCTAAGAAATAAGGGGAAAAAGTGCATACAGGTTAAAGGCTGGAAGGATTTTCAATAGAGAACATATTTAATTGCTTATTGCATAGGTAATATCTCTCTTTTTTTTTTTTTTTTTTTTTTTTTTTTCCTCTATCTCTTCTACTTGGTGTAATTTTGGGGGCACGTTTTCAACTCTTAGCCCAAACAAAAAAAATGCACTGTGGTAAGTCGGTAGATTTGAAGCTTGGTGTTTAGAACTGCTGTGTAATACACCACAGAGCAACTAATAACACCATCACATGCTGTGTAGTTAGGGCTTGTTTGTCTGTGTTTTGCAGTAATTGAATTTCATATATATGTTGAAGATAGCAAAACTGATGCATTTCCTCCTCCCCCACTCCTCCTTTTTTTATTAATAACTTTCAGTAGAGATCACCTGCATCTTCAGTAAGACTTTCAGCACTTCTGCATTTATTTTTCTCTTTGGTTAAAATTCATTGTAGATAAAAAGAATCCAAAAAGAAATACAATAAACATTTGTGTTAATTATATCATTTCCTCCTACTCTTCTCCCCTGCAACATATGTTATCCTCTCTCTATGCATCTCTATTGATTTTTTTTTTTTTTTTTAATTATTATTATTTTTATTAGTGCTTGGTACATGTGTAATCAAAGACCTCAAATTATGCTCTGATGCTACAAATATGACCCTATTTCTGCACTCTTTTATCAGCTTAAATATATCTAGATGTAGGCAAAGGAAGTTACCCTGTGCATCTAAATACAGGACTTTCAATTAGTCTGCGTTCCCTACTTCAGTCTGAGTCAAATCTCGTTATCCTTTGCACTGGACCTGTTTTGCAATTTTTTATTTAATCCTCTGGTTATTTCTTGGAATGTGATCCATAGCAAAAGCTTCATCAGTGTTCTCTGACCATGCCTGTGACTTTCTATTACAACACTTGGTATTTCATGCATCCGTGTTTTTTTCTGCCTTCATGGAGAAAGCAGATTTCTCCATTTACTGAAAAACTGATATAATGATACTTGATCAACAGAGAGTGTGAAATGAGGTGACGTTTTCCCATTTTAAAAATGGGAGTGGGGGATGAGGTTCATATATGGGGCTGAGGTCCCTGGCAACTAAACTTGCCTACACGCACTGCTAAGATGCCACTTCAGTTTTGGTGGAATCACGTGCTTGATCAATTATCTATACATTACACCTTTGAAATGTTTTTGGAAAACATTGACCCTTTAACATTTTTTTTTCTAGTGGGACCTGCACTTAACTGCTGAATCAGGAAGAATATTTTCTCTAAACAAAGCACAAGTACATGATAGAAAAGCTATATTACTTCCAAAATAGAAATTAATTATTATACTTTTCCAAAACTCAGTTTTCTTCTGACTTTGTTCCATGATATCTCAAGGCTATGCCTAATAACTGCTACAACCCCATTATAAAGAATTAAAAATCTTTCAGCATTAATTTACATTTCCTCCCCCCCTCTTCCCCCCCCCCCCTCCTATTTATATGCCTTGGTCTTGCTCATGTATACGTTAGGGGAAGTTTCTACATCTGACTCGTGAGGACAACTTGGTGGAGGGGCAGGGTGTAACGTCAGCTTTGAACCTGGTATTCTGGCTGCAGTGATCTGCATACCTGATGTAGCCAGTAGTAGTCAGGCCAGGATGCGATATGAGCCCTCTTCTTTTGTGACAGGAGATGCTGCCACTGCTGGAGGCTTATACATACATGTGTTAAACCTCTGCTGTGGCATATGGTGGCTTTTCAGTTACTGAACTATTGAAAAGAACCAAATAACTGCCTGAACTTACTAGTGTGTGTCAGTGAAAGATGCAGAAAGTACTCTGTGGTATAATGCCTACAGAAGCCTGTCAGTGCTACGTGTGGGGGCTGTTCTTATGCAGAATTCTATCAATGTATTTTTCAAGTGTTTTTTTTTTTTTTTTTTTCCCTGAGATTAGTGATAGTAGAAATAAGATCTTTAATATAAAGTATAGAAAGGAATGCAATTTACCAGTTGTACGTGGCAAATGTATAAACTGTGAATCTGACATGGTATTGAATGTTCACTAAATGCAAGTATTGTCAAGGTTGGACAAGTGCCTGTTGTGTTTTGATGACAGTAATTAGTGAGGGTTCTAATGTGTGTTAAATCTCTCTGGCTATTGAACACAGACACACTATATGTGCTTTCAGAAAGTTTCTAGAACTTCCAATAATTCTTTGAAGTATGAAGTTAGCTCTTGCTGGTCATCAGTGAGCTGTATACTGACCTGAGGCAGATAAAGAGTTATCTTAATGTAAGAGAACTTGGTGTCTCACAAGTCAGCATTACACATTTCTCTCCTGACATAGTTTTGAAAATATATTAAGAAAAAAAAAAGCTGAACAGCACAAGTGGTGAGGCAGCCCACTGCTCCTATTTCATCCTCCTCCTGAAAAGATAGTATCGCTTATATAACACATTCAAAGGAGCACGTAATTCATTATGTATGGTTAGTCAGCCATGTGCATTTTTACATTTCTGCCTGTAGGTAGGCTGAACACCTGGTGACATGGCAGCATATTTAAAAGGCTGTTTAGAAAATCCTCAGCACAGCTCTGAGCAATTTCAAAATGGTTGAATAATAGACAAAATAACCCCAGCATCCCTTCTGACAACTTCCTTCATAGGAAGGCATTAGTATGGGGAGAAACAAATACTTTTTGTCCCTGAGAGATGGGCAGCTTGTGCTGAAAGCTGCAGCATACTATCCGACTCTTGCTCTGTACAGCAGTTTACCTAAGACAGTCTTTCTGTCTTAAAACTTCCAGCTTCTTTTGAGAAAGCAGATAGCTTTCATCAGCCAGGTGATGAACAGAGGTTTTGATGTTTTAAAGCAAACTGTTCAGTGCTCTTAAAAATGGTAATGTGGGGAAAAAATACAAGTATCTAAAGACAGAAAATGTTAAACGAGTACAGCATACAGAGGCAGAGTGAATATTTTGAGGAATACTCTAACAGGAGTGGGAAGAAACAAGAATCCTGGAGCGGATGCTGGAGCAACGGGTGATGTAAGGATGACTCAGCCCGCGTTCGGCTCATCTCCAGGTTTTGCCATGCTTATTTACATTAAAGTTCAATTGTGCTATTCTTAAGTCTGTGTGTTTAGTGGAGAGGAAGGTGAGAAAGAAGCAGAGGGAGAGAAGAAGAGAAAGGAGGGAGGGAAGGCTTTAAAACGCGACAACAACAAAAATACCTGGACCAATCCCTCCTGCTCCCCACGCCGCTCGCTCCGTGGAGGAGCTTGTCATCCTATGCTCGCTCGATCGAGGGGATTCTTCTGCGAGCGCAAATTAATAATTTATTCACAGGCTCGAGTCGGTTAGCCCGCATTGATTCACTTATGCTGCGTTTCTTTTCATTCACGAGCCTTCGCTTGTCCCCATCTCTCGGATAGTGCCTCGCTGCAGCGCTCCGGCGTGGGAGGAAGCAGCGAACGTGCCGCCGTGCACAAGGACGGGCCGTGCGGGACGCGGTTCCATGTGCGAGCCTCGCCTAGAGCCGGAGCCCGCCTCGCTCCGGCATCCCGCTGCCTGCCGGCACTGCCGTCTCGGCGGGGCTCGGCGCTCCGCTCCCGGCGGGGCGGAGGGTTTCAGCCCAGGGCTGGGCGGGGGCCGAGCACGGCCGTGCTGCCCGGCCTGCACCCGCCCGTCATGCGGCGCTGCCCCGCCTGAATTGGCGGCGTCCCCGCCGGGTGGGCACAGCCTCCCCCCCCCTCCCCCTTCAAGCCGCCCTGGCTCAGCCCCCGGCAACGTGCGGCGTTCTGCTCTCCTCTCCTCCCTGCAAGGGCTCAACTCCACTTTCAGCTCCTTCAGACTTTGGCTGCTCTTGCCATCCGGAGGCTCCCTCCCGCCGGTCCGGCTCCTCCTGTGCCTGCCTCTCTCCGCGCTATCCCGTTAAAAGGCTGCAGCTGCCGCTCGCTGAGCCAGTCGTTGGTTGACTCCGTCTGGGATGAAGGCTGGAGGTTACCGGCGAGGGAAAGGAGACCTCTAGGCAGCTTTCCATTTGCAAAGTGAGCGGTAATTGCGAGGAGACAGCCTCCCCAATTGGAATCAATAGTCTGCTTTCTTGCTGCTAAGGGCACTTTGGAGCAGTAGTAGGTCACTGAAGTAACTCCAGCACGCTGCTGACTGCGGAGTTGTAAAGAACTACGTGCGAGTGGCTGCAGGAGTGCTGGAAAACGCGTCCCTGTTGCCAGGGACGGAATAGTTCTCAAGTCATTAGAGCTTCTGGTCCTCTCCTTCCATTACACAGAGAGGGTCACTCCTGGGAGGGATGAGGATGAAGCAGTGATTTCTCCAAGTGTCGCTCTCGTGGAGGGGCTTAAAGCTGGCTTGAGAAGCCACCCCCTACTGCTACTAAATTCAGATTTACCTGAATTTCCCCAAATCTCTTCAAGCACAATGCTAGAAAATCTGAATCTTCTTCGGACTTTTGGGGGTTTTTTCTTTATCTTCTGGACAGCTTTTAACACAGCCTTAGTGGATGTGGTTGGATCGGAGCAGCAGATCCCCCTGTCTGTGTAAGTGTTTTCATGGTATTTCTCTCAGGACTGTGCTCAAGGATGAGAGTTGACTGCTCAAGTTCCTATTTCTTACTGCAGATATTTAGCTGTTCAAGGCACCTTTGCTCCTCTGTCATCTGTTTCTGAAATTGGGCACCACTTTAAATTTATTCTAGTGCATGTGTTGATGGAGTGTACCATAGTAGAGCTTTATTTTAAACACTTCTATTTACCGAAGTTCACATTGTTATGTTAACTCATTGTTATGTGAGAAGTTACCATTCAGAACCATTCTGCTGTTTTATCTGCTCCTTTCATTCGTGTGTAAACACATTGTGTCAAAGTGTGTTTCTGGGCAAGTTGATTGTTTAAATTTTAAAAAGTGCAGCTTGGGTGGTTTGGAGTCAGAGGCCTCACCTTGGCAGAGCATCTAGCCTGTGCTTGTACTTGAACAGCTTTGCTAATCTTTTGCTGTGCCTAGGTTCCTTTGTGAGCTCCTCAATGCAAAATTGCTTGAATCCTTATGAGTGCAGCTGAAGCAGCTACAGTCTGTGTTGCTTGCTGTGACATGTGTATTACATTTCTTCCTGCCTCTTTTTTTTTCTCCCTCACAGTGTGAAGCTCTGGGCCTCAGCGTTTGGTGGGGAGATCAAATCTATTGCTGCCAAGTACTCGGGTTCCCAGCTCCTGCAGAAGGTAAGGATCTTTTTGCTTGTAATAAAGAAGGTTGTAAAAGGGAAGATGGAGGCAGATTTAGTTTTTTAAATAGAAAAGCAGAACAGTGCATCCTTTGGTCTAAGATCTATTTTTGTATTGCATACTGGTCCCTGATGACTCTTTGCATTGCACTGCACTGTTTGGAGACTCCTTGATTAAAATGAGTTGGTTTTGAGAGGTGTGGGTTTTTTTGCTTTCATTTGAAAGTAAACTCTGATGTGTTTTTTTTTTTTTTTACTTGTAGTCTAGATTGCGGGTATTTTGTCTGGTTGCTGCATTGTGATGATCGTGTTTCTGTGTAAAAACAGCTGCTGCTTATGAAAAACATCAACTTCATTCAAAGAGCAGAATTAGGGCATATTTTATTATTTTTACCCTATGCTGTATGTATGCAATTGACTGTATTGGGAGAAGAAGGCTGCACTGTTGTTTGTCATCTCTGCAGTTTTTACAATCCCATTATTCCCCAATCATCTCAACCCAGTGCTGGGATGTATTACATCATTACAGATAAAAGGAATGAATGTGGTTATCTTCTTGCTCAGCTGCACAGCTGGGTAATAAGCTAGTGAAGTATTGCGAAAACTTGAGAAATTGGCATAAGTCTACATAATTTGGGCAGAAAGGGATGAGAAAGCGGATTTGAGTATTAGGCATATATCAAAGACTGCATCTAGACTAATTTAAACGTGCAGCCAATAATAAAGTTCTATATTGTAGGCCGCTCATTTTTATAGCAATTGCTGAAGAAGGCATTGTGAAAGACTGAGGGAAATATGTTGAAGTTTTTAAGGTTGTGATTTTCTGGCATTTATTGTGATCCTTAAAATGTGGTGTGGAAATGGAAAAATGTTGAGATGCTCTCTGACTACAGAAACCAGTCATTCAACCCATATGTTAAATTTCTGCTTGTTTTAGAGGTGATTTCTGGTTTTGAATAACACTTGTTTGTTTTTGTTTGCCAAGAAGGAAGAGCTTCAGCTTGTAGCACTTATTTTGAAAGGCTTGTATACTTGTGAGATTATGTAATGGACAGTAAAGGTAGCAGTTCAAATAAACAGCTTATACTGTCTGCAGAAAATGAAGCAACTAACTTAATACTTAAAGGCATGGGAGATCCTCAGTATTATGCCTTCTCATTGTTATGTACCCAGGATTGTGAAACCTGTCCTTAACTATGCTGCAATACAGAGCTATTAAGAACATGAATAGTTGAGGTCTTTCAATACGTTTCAAGGCCATTAAATAGCTTCTGTTGAGGAGAACTTTTAATCTAAAAATGAGGACATTTAATATTTATTGTATTTTTAGCTCGTGTTCTTTAAAATCTTCGTATAGTCTTATATCTGTATAAACTCTTTAAGTTCGTAATGCAGATGGACCTTTCAGTTTCAGTTAGTATCTGATCAGGTATTGTTAAAAGGCTTAAATTTTTTTTTCGGCCCTTAACAAGCAACTACATTTATTTAACTTTGGAACAGCTCCATGTGCAGCCATTTTTGAACTAAAATGACTTAAAACATTTTTGTCTATCAGGAAAATATGGCATATGCTGTGTGTGACAATGGTGCTAAAATGCACAAACACTAAGTATAAGATCATGCTTCTATTCCTCGTAGTAGATACATTGTAGATATAGAATATATGGTTAATCATTTCTGTAATGTGCTTTTCCTTTTGTAGTATCCACATTGCTTCCTATAGGTTATTATAATTGTAGGCAATAGGAAGCTATTCACTTTACGTTTTCATCAGCATTCTTTCTGTTTCACTAACAAAACCCTATTCCTGTTTTTAAAGGTAGACAGTATACATTTATTCCATGTTATTTTGTTTTTGTTTCCTGCATTTGTTATGGTATTTCATCACAGAATTAAAGGAGAAAGATGGAATGCAGATTTGAGGGTGTTTTGAGTTCATTTGTTCTTCTATTGCATCCTCTACTCTTTTTTTTTCCCCTCTTTTCTAGCCTTCTGATCATAATAGTTTGAGGAAAACTCTGGTACCTTTCAGTTTCATTGAAAAATTCCATTTGTCTGTCCTTTTAAACTTGCCATTTCTTAGTGTTGGCCATGTCAGATGAGTCTGGATGATAGACGATTTTAGCATGAATCTTTTTGTATTGTTGTGAAACATATTTATTTTGTAAGCTTCTATGAATAAAAGCATATCAAACTTGAAGATTCGCAAGCATTTTCATCATGTGAAGTCAATGGCAGAAGTTGTCATAACAATTCACCACAGCGATAGCACATTAGTGCTGTAAATCCAAGCATGGTTGTTTGTTGTTTTTTTTCTTCCTCTGCCACTAGCCAGACATGAAGAATCCATTCGGTGTTTACTGTGTGCTGAGTGATCAGAATTAATGTCTTCTTAAAGGCAAGATTCCACTTGTAGAGGCAGAATGACTTCTAATGTTAAGTGGATGAATCAATACTTTTTGATCATGAATTAAGCATCATTAGTGAATGAAGATATAAAAATGTGTATAATCACGTATTGGGCAGTATGGATTTATTAATTATCAACTGCTTTGCAGTGCCATTTAGATTAATAAAAGCTTGATAAATGAAAAATTAATGTAAAGACTATTTGGTTCACTTTGTTAGCATAGATGATGTGTGCTACTTTCAAAGGAACGTGTGATAAACCGAGGTCCTATTGACACAATCTTTTATGCAAATGCTTTACTCACTAAAATTCATGAGACCCGTCTTGAGTTTTCATTGAGAAAATGAAATTATGTGAGATCCTCAGTTAAAAAAATGGTCAGATTGTAACTCTGAGTATCGATACAGGTATTGCAAATCCTGAGTATCGCTGCGCTGTGAACAGAAAATGAGTAACCAGCATTGCAGTCCTATTGAGTTTTGAAATGTGTAAGAATATTTTCATCACTTTTTTTAAAAAAGCAACGTTGTTTATCTCAACTGAGTGGTTTTATAATTTCATTCTGTTGTAATAATCTTCTCTAAGTATGTCATTACGCCTTCTAACACTATGTGGGATATACGACTTTTCCTGCAATTGGCTTTAGATAAAATACAGGGACTGTAAATAGTTCAGAAAATAATAATAATAGCTCAGTAAGTATTTTAGAAATGAAGATGAGATTTTTAAGCAAATTAACACTTTTAAATGTTTTATTTTAATGCTCTATTAATTTCAGAGTGAAGGAAGGCCATTCTGTGTTCAAAACACCAAGCGTAAGAAAATAGGACAATATTATTCGTAAATTAGCTGGTTTATGGAGGTTTTACAGTTGTCATGTAGATTTGGCAACATAAATGAAGCTGTTTGGTGCATGCTCTTCACCTGGCTAGAAAATACTTATGGGGCCTAAAATCTATTCAAATTTTAATTGTTTCTTAGGTTACCTGTAGCACAGTATGACAGAATTTTTTCTCCTCGTACTTGGAAAAGGCATCTGCTTTATTTGAATCCTGATGCATCTTCAAACTTTTTTTTTTAAACACTGATCATTTTTTAGTTTGAATATTAGCACAGCCTAGTGGCAAAGCCAGGCTTTTTAAGTATAGGATGAAAGCGAGGGTTAGGTCCCAGGAATGGATTCATTTCACTCTATGATTATTCCTCCAAAATTCTATGCTTAGGGAATGCTATTGTTCACGATACGGTGTTCATGATAATGATGTGTGTTCAGTTCTATATGCTATTGCAAAGTAATAGTAGCAGTAAAATGCAAGTAGGAAGTGGAGGTAATTTGCCTTCTGTTAATGTTAAAAATAATTGTCATTTGTGCAGTAAATCTCTAATATCAAATAAGTCCAATTATTTCTATGTGTGGTGGTTTGTGCTTTTAGATTTCTCTTGGAGAAAACCATGCATACTCTGAGAAATTCTTGATTTGGTCTTGAACGGTAAATAGTAATTTATTACTACTATAGGAACACTTAATAATTGAATATGAACTTTTTTTTGAGAGTTCTACCATTAAGGTTTCTTGCTGAAACCTCTTGCTTTTTAAAGCCCTCACAGAATTTCCTTATGTAAGTTGCTTAACGGAGTCTTCAGTGTTATGTAAGCACTTACAGCCCTAATTTCAAGCAGTTTGTCTGCACATGCCCACTCATTTCAACATTATCTTCATTGTATGAAGAGTTCTCAAATCCATTGTAGTTTCTCCAAGCAGCTCTTTCCATCAGTACAGAATCCCTATTTATAAAGGTTCAAAATTACATTTTGACTTACCACCTAGTGCTGTATCTTGTTTCTTACAACTATGAAAATGTCAGTACAAAGCTAATAGAACAGGGTGATTTAGATCAGTTTGCATTCAGCTGGCGTATCTGATTCATGTGGTACAGTTATCTTTAGTTTTAATATGTATAATAGTGACTTAAATTCTCACAGAAGTTTAGTACCATCATCTTGACATTAATTGCTTTTATTCAGCCTGATGTTTTTTCTGGTCTTTTTAGGCTGTTTTTTTTTTTTTTTCTTTGCTCAAGACTCTTCAATTACTGCTGCTGCCTTTGAAGGAAGGGTCAATAGAATTAGGATGTGCATTTCAAGCTGCAGATATGGACTGCCTTTTTGATTATTAATTTAACTTTTGCCAGCTGAACTATCAATTTTAATCCTGCCAAAAAGTGATAGAAGAAAAATCACCCAATATATATATATATGTGTGTATGTATATTCATATAAATGATATAAACAAACCCATCACCAAAACCCACAACAAACCTGTAAGACGTCTATGATTTTAAACAAACCGAAACAACAAAATCTAGCCGGGCAAATCATATTAAGCTTCATACTTCTGAACTTTGGATTATGCAAAATGTCTCTTATCCCTGAATTAAAATCAAGCATTAAATGATGAAAGAAATTTGCGTCTTAAAACACTTCAATTCTGATGGCAAACACAATGCTATTCTGCAGCTTGCAGGTCTTAAACCCTTTTCCTCTTCAATTTTTCCAGGCCATGTAAATAATGGAGTTGTTCCCCATGT